AATAATTAATATATATTTTTATTTTAATCAATAATAATATTTTATAAAAATGGAACACGTGCTAGGCACGGACTTCTGCAGTTCCCTGCCGGTTTTTTTTTTTTTTTTCATCCCGATAATTTTCTTCGGTTGGAGGCCGCAAAATCCAGCAAATGCTTTCTATCCTCCACACTGACTCAGGCCGGAAGATGGCTTCTGCTAATTACCAGCCGCCACTGATCCTCTCGGACTCCGATACCGACTCCGACTGCGACCACTCTAATGCTGGATCTGAGCTCTCGAACTCTATCTTCAAATCCTACTTAGAATCGTCATCGTCATCCTCCCTCACCGCCGTTGATCTTTCCAAGATCCAATCGTTCGTCACCACATCCTCATCCGGCGCTCTATCGTGCCTCATATGCCTCGAGCGCATAAGGCTCTCCGATCCAACCTGGTCCTGCTCCTCGCTGTGCTTCAGTATTTTTCACCTCCTCTGCATCCAATCCTGGGCCCGCCAGTCCTCTGACCTCTCCGCCGCCCGTGCCGCCACTCGCTTACCGATATCTGCCGAGACAGCCTCCGATCAGGCAACCTGGCACTGCCCCAAATGCAGATCCCCTTACTCAAAATCAGAAATTCCCAGAAAATATCTCTGCTTCTGCGGTAAACTCGAGGATCCACCCTGTGATAATCCCTGGATTTTGCCCCATTCTTGTGGTGAAGTCTGCAACCGCCCTTTGAAGCACAATTGTGGACATTTTTGTTTGCTTTTGTGCCACCCTGGACTTTGCCCGTCCTGCCCCAAGCTGATTAGAACGCGGTGTTTTTGTGGTTCTGTAGAAGATGTCCGCCGCTGCGGATTCAAAAACTTTTCTTGTAACAAGTCTTGTTCCAAGCTTTTGGATTGCAAGAAACACAGATGTTCTCAAATCTGCCACGAAGAGACGTGCCCACCCTGCCGGGCAAGGGGTACCTACCGGTGTCGGTGTGGAAAAAAGGAAGAGGAGAGAGACTGCTGTGACCGGGATTTCCAGTGTGAGAATCCTTGTACAAATGTTCTTGGATGTGGAAAACATGTGTGCCAGAGAGGATGTCATTCTGGAGATTGTGGTCAGTGTCCACTTCAGGGGAAGAGGACCTGCCCTTGTGGCAAGAGAGTGTATGAAGGCATGTCCTGTGACGTTGCAGCGCCAGTTTGTGGTGCCACTTGCAACAAACTGTTAGACTGTGGTTTTCATAGGTGTCCTGAACGGTGCCACCGGGGGCCTTGTGTTGAGACCTGTAGGATTATGGTAACCAAATCTTGCCGGTGTGGTGGATTGAAGAAAGAGGTAGAACAATAACTAATGTAGTGTTTGAATTCTAATTGTGTCACTTTGTGAACGTTTTAACTGAATCTGGTTTAGGTTCCTTGCTATCAAGATTTGTCATGTGAGAGGAAGTGCCAGAGAATGAGGGATTGTGGACGCCATGCTTGCAAGCGTCGTTGTTGTGATGGGGACTGCCCCCCATGCTCAGAGGTTTTTATATTATTGCATCTGATTCCATTGACAAGCTCATTTGTAATTGCAATATCACTTTCTTTTTGTTAATTTTCTTTATGTAAAAGCGTTATTGAATTATATAAACTTCAGGTTTGTGATAGGAGGCTTCGATGCAAGAACCATAAATGCCCTGCGCCTTGTCATAGGTATGCTACTGTCCCTTTTTTTTCAATAAGAGCATGATCTTACCAATTCATTAGTCATTAAATTAAGAGCAAAATGTTAGACAAACTGAACTGAAAGTAGCCACTTAATTTTTGTCACGACCCTTCCTGGACAATTTTCTAAATGGCATTTTAGCATGACAATTAGTTGTTACTTTATGGAGGCAGAGCACCTTGCTGCATCTGACATGTCAGATTTTCTAGTTGTGAGTAGAGTACAAGATAATTTGGAAAAGGAAATCCCAAGTACTGCTAACAGTCATTCTTTTAGTCCATTTCTATACTATTTTGTAGAAGCATGATCTGATGATTGTGAAATTTGCTCTTGTAGAGGCACCTGTGCTCCTTGTCCTGTGATGGTGACAATTTCATGTGCATGTGGTGAAACACACCTTGAGGTGAGAGTTCAGTTTTCTTAGGTTCTATTTTTTATTTCAAAGTTCAAACTAGATGTACAATTCAGATATTATTCTCTTTAAAAGTGTTCAACTGAAACACAAATTTTCTCCGCATCTTTGGTGCTTATGGAATGTGTACCCTGTATCTGTACTAGGTTCCCTGTGGTACAGAGATGGATCAAAAGCCTCCTAGATGTCCTAAGCCATGCAAGATAGCACCTATGTGCAGGCATAGCTCAAACTGCAAGGTACTATTGTTAATTTCCCCTCAGTCTTATATGAAGAGTGATCTATGTTTTATAACAATAGAGTGTATGTGGTCCTTTTGTGCTTGTTGTTAATGCTATACCTGGATTGCCAACGACCTTTGTTCTTTCACATTTTAACTTACATATGCAGCAATAAGTGGCCAACATAAGATAACTTCTTAAGTGATTGTAAAATTTTATATGCATCCTTAAACTTTCAGTTGAAACATTAAGCATGGATTTCGAAGCAAAAGTTCAAGTTTAATGAAAATTGGTGTTAGTTCATGAAGTTATGGTGTATGTACTCCGAAGAACTAAGTAGATGTTGAATACTGAGAGTTATTGAATATTGATTCTAGTAAATCTTATTTTGTACATTATGCCTACCGTTACTCCAAACTTGGTATTTTTATCATCTATGGAAGTTCCTCTATGTTGAAGGCAAAAAACAAAAATGAAAATCTATGGAAGTTCCTATATTTGTGCATGTAATTCTCAGCCATCCCAGGAGATGTCTTTGTTTGTTTCAAAATTTATTTGCCCAAGCAGTTTTTTTAAGCTGGTAATTACCATCTATTTTTTATCAGCCACATAGATGCCATTATGGAGCTTGCCCTGTTTGTCGACTACCTTGTGATGAAGAATATCAATGTGGCCATTTGTGCAAATTAAGGTTTGTTGCCATGTGTCATTGTATTGTTATTGTAATATACTGCATAGTGTAATTTGAAACTTTCCTTTCACCAGAAAATATTTCTGTTACCTTTCCTTTTCATTTTATGTTACAGGTGCCATGGCCCTCGACCTCCTCCAAACCCTGAATTCACATTAAAACCAAAGAAAAAGAAATTAAATCATCAAAGGGAATCTACTCCTGGTACTCCATGTCCTCCTTGCCCAGAACTTGTTTGGAGGTCATGTGTTGGTCAGCATTTTGGGGCAGAGAGAATGGTTGGTTTTGGCTTCACTTCATTTTATTTGTTCAAGTTTTAAATGAATATATTAGGTTATAATCACAATCTATTTGATTGCCCTGAGGTCTTCAATAATTCACCATTCCCTTGTTTCTCTTGTTGGTTCTCAGATGGTTTGCTCAGATAGAACACAATTTTCATGTGATAATTTATGTGGAAACCCTCTTCCTTGTGGCAATCATTATTGTACAAAAACTTGTCATCCCCTGAAGAGCCAGTCTTCAACATCAGAAAAACACAAAAGCAGTGAGTCTTGTGAGGAGTGTGATCTTCGTTGCCAGAAGGTGCTAATTTGTTTGTTTCAACACCCCCCCTGCCTGCAACCCTTCTGTCTCTTTGCTTCTTTTTTTTGAGATAGAATAACTGATTTATCATCACATCAACCCTTTCTTCAGGAAAGGCTGCCCTCCTGTCAACACCCTTGCCCCCTGCAATGTCATCCTGGAGAGTGCCCTTCATGCAAGGTGCTTGTAAAACGGTCTTGTCACTGTGGCTCAATGGTACATGTCTTTGAGTGCATATATTTTAATAGCCTCTCTGAAACAGAGAAAGCAACTGTCCGCTCATGTGGAGGGCTTTGCCATAGGTAATTCCTTAACTTTCCTATGTACTTTTTACATTTCTCTGCAGCCATTTTTATGTGGTTATGGGTGCTGAATGGTTTAGCCATTATGCTTCTCTATGAAACCTTTGAAACTTCTGTCTTGCAGAAAGTTGACCAACTGTACACATCTCTGCCCAGAAACATGCCATGCTGGTGAATGCCCTTCACCTGAAAAGTGCTCCAAGAAGGTGAAAATAATATATATATATATATATTAGCACATCATTCACATATTACCATAGGGTTGCATTAGTCTAAAACTAATAATACAGACTCTGCCCCTGGATTTTGGTACAAATGGGCGATACAGTTCATATTCTGAACTTGTGAATTATGATTGAATTTCTTATGCCTATTTTGTTCTTTATATGTAAGGTTACTGTTCGCTGTAAGTGCCTAACCTTGAAAAAGGAATGGTTATGCCATGATGTTCAAGCCACTTATCTTAACTCTGGTTGCGATCCCAAAGATATATCTAAGAATCAGTTCGGACTGGGACTTCTGCCTTGCAATTCGGAATGTAAGACAAAAGAACAGGCTGTTGATTCAGGGTTACAATTGCGTAAACCCAAGGTTTTGGAGGTAAGCTCTTTTAGGTCCAATAAAAATTATTTTATTCCCACCTCACCATGTGTTTGCTAGGCTGGTTTGATGTTGTGGCATCTTTTTGAATGAGGCTCTCTCAATCTGAAATCTAACACAACTTCTTTCTTAAAGGAAAAGGAGTCTGAAAATGAAAAGCATCTACCAAAGCGTAGAAAAAGAAAAGATCGGGTTCAAGAGGCCAAGCAAATCTCAAAACTACAGGTAATATTGTTTCCTATTCCTCGAGGAGGTGTCAACGTTTTTTATCCTCTTTCCCCTCTTAACAAAGACATACTCTTTTCAAACAGCAAACTCTTGCCACCATGAAGCGGCTATTTTTGTTTGTCATCATCATAATAACTCTGCTTGCAGCAGTGTGTTTTGGTTACAAGGGCCTCTTAAGGCTCTCAGATTGGATGAATGAAGTTGAAGTGCAAAGAGCAAGAAGAAGATATCCCCGAGCCTAATTAAAGTCAGGTTAGTTTAAGCAAAGTTATATGGCAAATACTCATAGACATTCTTTTCCTTAATAGAACTAGAAAATAGTCAGTCACCAAATGCATTCTGTATATTGTTTTTTTATCTTTCAAAATTTTGGAATTCTTTGATTTCTCATCAATGTGTGGCATAAGGAGCATATGATATATGACTTTACACAATAAATTAATTTCTTAAAGTATTTGATTCAAGAACAAATCATTCAACTATTTTTCACTGTAGTTATACTTGGATAAGCCTTACATACTTACAAAATGCTCCTTTTTAAGCCAGCCTAGAAAGTGTTAACTCATTTTCTTCAACTTCTATAGATTGCATCATAGGCTTGAAATTGTTACTGTCTGGTCTCAAGAGTTTAAACTTTAAAGAGCTTCTCTTAGGTAGGGTTAGGGTTTGGTGATCTGTATGAGGACTTGCAGCAAGGTGGGGCTAATTTCACACGTGTCTCTTTCTTTAGTAACATGGGGGCCTCCAGTTTGAGGCTCAAGTCAATATTTTGGATATTTTAAGCCCTAAGATTTTCTATTAGTTACACTTTCAGTTTCCTCCATCTGGAACTTTTTCTTCTTTGAAAACAGACCCGGTGATGATACCTTCAAAAAGGATGACTGATCAACCAAATTCTTGGTACCAACTCCATTTGTTTTTTTTTCTTTTTTCTTTTTTTCCCTTTTTTATGAATGATTAAGTTGTCCCTTCGTCAGCTTACGCACACCTCATGACTAATCCCTTCACGGGGCATGTTAAAGGTGCACCTCCCAACTCCTTTATCAAATTTCCATGAAGAAGTTGAACTTTTGGAATGAATAATTAATATGGAATCTGGAGTTTCTATATCTGAAAGTGAAAACTTTAGCCTGATCTGGATTAGTTCCAAATCTATTGTTCTTGAATTGGTTTTTCACGTTTCACATCACTCATTCATTGAAAGTGAGTCCCCTTGAAGATTTCAAGAATCATGATATATTCTTGATTGAAATATTCTGAGCATTTTCTTATTGACCAAAACACTCTAAATTAAATATCAACGACCCCACGCCACCACCGATTAACATATCACCCGTAGCATTTAATCTCCGCTAGGTGGGTACCAGAATCATCTATACCTCTGTGGTGGGAACGCACAGGCACAGCCTCTCTTTTTGATAGTGCATGATGTTGAACTAGTCTTGTCGTGATCTTATGTCGATCTCTTAGGGTCATTCTCACCATGTTGATACATATATAAATGATATTTTTATCATTCTATAAAAAGAAATATTTTGAAATTAATTAATTTGAAGGCATCGCTTAGTTTAATAAATTTCATACCAATAATAGTTTTGGTTAATCTGCCTATTAATTTAAAATTTTTAATTTAGAGTTAATGTATTTAGACTTTTAACCCTCTAATGTACAAACAAAAAAATGTTTTTAAAAAGAATTTCATTATAAAAAATTAACAGCAAGCTTTACGAGAATAAAAATAAAAGATGTGAACTCAACTATGATATTTAATTGCTTCCAAAGTGTGAACTTAAAAGATGTGTTGAAAAAGTTGGACCGTTTTCCCTTTTCTTCTTCGTCTTGTGTTGCGTATGTATTGGACTTTTTGGGCAGATGCAGCTTTTGTTAAGTTCTTTTTTTATAGCAAAAACAGATGTGAAAGAAACTCATAAGAAGATCTTTCATGCACCAAACCATTCACGTTCCTTCTTACTATAACCAAACCAAAATAAAACACAGAACCCCCATTCTTATATTCATTTCTTTGGTGTGAAATGAAGCCATATGGTCAAAACCCAAATCCTCTCATTTCTTCTGCATGCTTGGGAAGAAGAAGACGAGGGGCTAGTATATTTCTATAACAGAATTTATTGCAGCTGCATATAAATTATGATAAATGAAGCCGAAGTGGTCAAAATCGAATCATTTGATTTCTCCCTAGTGCTCGGTAGGAAGAAATTTAATATAAATCTATTCTGTAATCAAAATTTGCTGCGTTTACGTAAATTAATTGCAAAATAAAACTAAAGTAAAAAAAATTATGAAAAAAAGAGTGAAACAAGAACATAATCATGTAATCATTCTCCTTGCTTGCTGTCAGAGTGTTCTCAAAATTCTACACTACAGCTCAATGTTAGATTATGAAGATTCCTAACTTTCTACATTCCAAAAAGAAGTATACCAAGATCAATTTTGAAAGCAAAAAAATAAAAATAAAAAGATTCTGAAGAAGAAGAGAATTTCCTTTGTTCCTTTTTGGGTTTTGGAGTCGGAAATTCACTCTGAAACAATTGAGATTGAACCACTAGAGATGGTGCCATGGCTACCATCCGAACAAAGAGCATATGCCCTCTCCAAATTAGCTACGATGTCACTCATGGTAGGCCTATCTTTCCCTTCCAAATTCACACAATGCACTGCCGTATGTGCCATCAGCTCCACCGCCTCCGCCTCGTTCAGCTCCGGCGGTCCCACTCTTTGGTCCAGAACCTTAACCAATTCTCCCTCCATTATAGCATGAACTGCAAAATCCACCAAGCTCACCGGCGTTTCCCCATTTTCATCATCCCTGAAAATTGCCTTCTTCCCTGTCATTAGTTCCAGCATTACGACCCCTAGACCGTACACATCACTCTTGGCCGTTAACAAATTAAGACCGTAGTATTCCGGGTCAATGTATCCCAGCGTTCCAGCAGGCTTCGTCAGCCTGAAATCTATGTCTGATGATTCTGGACCCATCAACGACAACCCGAAATCAGAAACTCTTGCTGTCCAAGTCTCGTCAAGCAATATGTTAGAAGACTTGATGTCTCGGTGAATTACAGGAGGAACTGCATAGTTATGAAGATACTCGATTCCCCTAGCAGCATCCAGTGCAATCTTGATCCTCATTTTCCATGAATTTAACATATTACTACTCTTTTCGACGTTGTTCTTGTCATGTAAATGATCGTTTAGAGCTCCATTTTTCATGAATTCATAGACCAAGAGCCTTTCGTCCTGTTCTTCGCAGTAGCCCACCAGACTCACCAGGTGCTTGTGGTGAAGCCTGGACAAGAATGCCAATTCTGATTCAAATGCGGTTTCTTTCTCCTGAAATTTCTTTGTCTTGTGAACCGTTTCGCCTCTTTTGATGGCCACTTCGCGGCCGTCCGAAAGTTTTCCCTTGTACACAACACCGAAGCTTCCGTTGCCAATCTGGTTTTCCAATGAGAAATTGTTGGTGGCGGCGGCAAGCTCGGACAGGGTAAATTCCTCTGCTTTGTCAGCGTGTTTCGACGACGGTCCGCTTCTCTGGCGCCACATTACTCTGGATGTCTGGCGCCTGATCGTCAACGACCTTGAAGGCGGACTACTGTTTGAAGTCCCGCCGCCGTTTGAACCGCCTCTGGCGATTGTTGGTTGGACTGAATTATGCACTTTCTTTTTCCCAAAACAGACTCCTGTCCACAAACAATAAATAACTGTACAAATACCCATGAAAGCTCCAACTGATCCAACAATGGCAAAAGCCAATAAACCCCTTCTCAAACTTTTGGAAGGAGACGGTGTTGGTGCTACTGGAAACAATGACGGCGGAGGTGGCGACGATGGGGGTGTGAAATTTAAACAGGGCTCACAGATAACATCCGAACCCGAACAGAGCATATTTGAAGCCGGGTAAATTCCGCAGGAACCACAGGAGGATTGAACGCAGGGACCTGGTAGAATTCGCTGCAAAGGTAACTCAGCACCGGAATTTGACCCGTTTACGATCCAACCGGGTCCCCAACAAAATACTGAAAGATTACTGGCAGTCAATCCACAGGTGAAATTAGAACCGGAAACAATGGATTCAAATGAATCCGACACATTCCTCTCAAATCCTCCCCAACAAACCACCATCCGGTTTGATTGCCGAATCGCACAACTGTAATTCTCCGCCAGCGCCAACCCGGAAGCAAACTCTAAGCCAGAGTTTAACGGCACATTTAGCTGGCCGGATTTGTTTTCCCCTCTGCAGACTATGTTTCCGGTGAAATTAACCCCACATGCATGTCTGCCTCCGGCAGCAAGACTCGCCATTGACATATTCCCAAATCCTTGCTCGATTCTTTCTCTAATGGGATTGCTTCCCCAGCAACGGACTTTGCTATCATCGGCGGTTATTCCGCAGGCGAATCCAAACCCAGATGAGATTGAATTAAATTTGTAACGAAAATTTCCGTTACGTCTCCAGCATGTTACAGATGGGGTGCCGTTAGTGGTGGCGCAAATCTGATCATCACCAATGGCCAAACTCCGCAATAGAACAGTGTCGTTATTGTAGATGCGCTTGACGGGAAAGCTCGAATTTTGGGTGTCCCAGCAGAAGAGCCTGTTGCCGCCTGAACGAATGGCACAGATTGTGGTCCGGCCGCCAGCGAGGGAGGTGAAGGAGACGTCAGGTTGTAGTTGTAAAACCCGTCTGGCGCCATCCCGTCGGTAGCAGAGAATGCTTCTGGCCGGTCGGTCGGCTTTGATGGCGCAGACGGTGGCGGTCTCGTAGCTAATGGCGATGGTGGAGCCAGAGCCCAAGGCATTGACCACCGGGAGGGAGGAGACTGCGGTGAGGAGGGTGACGGCCAAGGCGATGACGAAGGAGGAGGGAAGCTTCGTCATTTTAAAAGGTGGGGCTTGACGGCGGAAGTGGTGGTGGTGGGGGCTTCTGGTTGGTCAGCTTCATTGGGGCTAGAGAGAGAAAGAATATTGAGTTTTGAATGAAGAGAGAGAAAGGAGCAGAGTCGGATTCGAAGAAAATCCAAAATAGAGGAGAATGGGAATTACCGGGGGTTTCGGATTTAAGAGAGTTTAATAAACGGAGGCCGCGTTTGGGAAGAGGATAAATAAATTGTGCAATAGTTTTTGTATTTAAGATTGAAAACTATGGTTTACTTATTAGGTATAAAAAATTTTAATATTTTTTATATTTATTTTTAATAGATTAAATTTATTTTTTTTCTATATGTAGTTTTTATAAAATATTTTTATTTAATTAAAAAAAATTTCAATTATTATTTATATAATATATTAAATTTTTATCTAAAATTTATATTTAAAAAGTTAAAAAATCAAACTAGATATATTAAAAATAAACAAATGGAGTATTTATTTTAAAAATATTAATTTTATGTAGTTTGACTATTAGAAATAGTTAATAGTGAATGTAGTTAAAAAAAAAATTTTTATTTTGTAATCTGAATTATATTATATTACGTAATATAAATTATTAAATGAAAGACAAAACCTATAATATTTTGGATCATACTAAATTGCAAAATATGAACAATTAGATGAGAAAGAGACTTCAATATTAAAAGATTTATCTTTATTAAATAGTTTTAATTATATAATTTAAATTACATAACAATTTTTTTAACACTTAATTTTGTGTGATCGTAACAATTTAACATGCAATAACCACACCCAATTTTAAAAAATATCTTTTCCATTGTTGAAGTATGAGTTTTTATCTTTATTTAGTTTTTTTTTTGTTTTATGTGCCTGAATATTAGAAATTAATTTGAGAATCTAAGCCCAAAGATTAGGATTTTTATCATAAGATAACAAATTTTAACAATTACGATGGGTGGGGAAGGACTAGCTCGAACACTTGCTTCTCGAGAAGGGTGGTCATTAGTCCACCAACAATTTTTTTTTTTCCTGTTTTATGTTTGGGAATTGGGATAATTTTCTTCTACTCATTTTAACAATATGTCTCACTAATAAAAAATAGGTGAAATCATTTTTATAGATAGAATTCAAACTTGCCAATAGCCAACTAATTTTTAAATTCGAAGAATAAAGATCAAAACTTTAAATTCATCTATCTTTTTTCACTAATATACATTTATCAAACAATAACAAAACTTAATTTGACATTTCCTTCTGTATAAACCAAAATCATTTATTATGGCCAAACAAGCCGTTAATGTTTGCTTGCGGGGGGAGAATGGTAAACACATTGATAGGCTGCCACGAGTCCTTCGCCTAAAACGTCGATGCACGTGTCGACGAAAATGCCGTCTACAAAACGCCGACGCACAACATTAAGATAAAGGCACCAATTTTTTGACCAAAATGTCATTTTAGAGCGCATGTTATACCCTCTTTAATTTTTATTCAAATTTTTTCAGGAAATTAGCAAGTTTTAGTATACTTTACTAGCTCTCTTTCTTTTTTTTCTTAATTTTTTTAGAAAAAATAAAGTATGTCTGGTATGGTATGTGTTACTGTCTTTTATGTTCTAACCTTGTTTGTTGTTATAAAATTGAATTCGAACTTGAAAGTATGGTCTAAGATCTATTGCTGAGTCAAATCATATGAATTTCATGGTTGTTAGGGGAGCCAGAAACCGACAGAGAAAAGGAAGGAAAATGATGGATGCGATTTCTTTTGGTTCCTTTCGCTTTTTGTGAGTTTTTCATGGGTTTGATTTTGATTTAGCATGGGTCAAACGCGTTTGAGAGACGGAAAGAACAGCAAAAAGAAAAAAGAGAGAGAGAGAGAGAGAAGAAGAGAAGGAAGAATTCGTCGTCGATGGTCCCTCTAAACCTCCATAAAAGACATTTCTAATGATTCCAGAAACGAATTAATTGCATGAATGATAATCTTTGTAGGTCAAATCTTACAAAATCTTACAAGTAGATGTTTGAACACTATTTGAGGTTTTCAATAATTAATTAATCAAAATTTTATAACACAAAATAAATAAATAAATAAAATGTGCTGACATTCAATCTAAACCACACATATTTTATGTCTCACTTATATAATTTTTTTTTTTTTGAACATATTGGCAAAGGCGGTTCGAAACCGCTAAGGGGAAGGGGAAAATGCATCACTCACTAGCTTAATGCCAGTGGGCCTCAAGGGTCGGGTCTTACTTATATAATTTTAATTAAATATTTTAAATTTTTTAATATCACAATATCTCAATTTTTAAAATTTTTATTTTATAATTAGTAAATACAAATTCAATTAAAGACTTAATTCTCCCTTGGTAATACACTCAATTAATTTGGGTGAGTTGTTATTTGTTTGTGTTTCCACGTGGAGAAGTGATGTAATTTTCACTAATTATCTTTTGATGTGTGATTCATATGAAGCTTGAAGCCTAATTGGACTAGCAATGAAGACCTCTTCCTTTATTTCAGCACAAAGATTTGGTACTTTTGAAAAGTTCAGATTTTTGAGGGATTAATTACTTTTTCTGCCGTGGGAAAACTGAAATGAATATTTATTTCACAGTTTTAAAATTTAGTTTTGCTTTTTAATGTTTATTTTATTAAATTATTAATAAAAAAATTTTCTAATATTAAAAATCTATCTCCATCTAATAAATAAAATTGCGTAACCTGCTCAAAGTACTTTTTCAACTAAAATTATGTCATCGTCAGAAACTGTCAAGAAAAAAAAGAATGAAATTACCAAAAAAAAAAAAACCTAGGACAACTAATAAAATTGAAAATAACACATTTTTGTCAATTAAGAAACCCATTGAGGTAATTGATTATGGGTTATAAAAAATTGATTGATTGATGTGAAAATTTCTATACTAGATCATATGAAGCAAAACCAAGTTTTTAAGGAACCGAATCTCCAAAAGCAGCTCAAGATTTGAGAAACCAAAAGCAGACACATCTTAAACCAGTAAACAAGAGGCAACTTTTCCAGTTCATTTATCAGAAAAAGAAAGAAAGAAACAGAAAATGCCCAAATCTTTATGATTATCAAAGTTTTGATTGGAGGCATGACAGGTACTTTGTAAGAGTATAGCAGAAGGTATTGCCAGCGATAGGATTATAAAAGGAATGAGTTATGGGCCATAACATGTTTGAGTAATCATAGCTGTTTCATAAAAGTTGGGACACATTTTTTCTTTGGTTATCCATACTTAATAGTTTCAGCAGAAAATAATGTGTATATAAAGCAATCATGTATTTGGACTGTTCTCAAATTATATCTACTAATAACAAGATTTGCTCTTTTTATTTAATTTTAAATTACATAATAAAAATTAATTTTCAAAATTTTCATTATGTCATATTATAAAATATAGGTTAAATACCCTTTTTGGTCCCTCTACTATGGGAAAAATTCCCTTTTTGGTCCCTATACCGAAAAAATCCCCTTTTTGGTCCCTAAATTTTAAAATCCGGCCCCTTTTTGGTCCCTCCGTTAATTTTTACTCGCATGGCACGTTAACTTAACTGGAACGGCTGATGTGGATATGCCAGCATGTCAAAAATGCTTACATGGATTTAATGACACCCTCCATGTCACCTTTTCCTGCGTGGAAAATTAAAAAAAAAAGGTTAAATATTAAATTTGATACCTCAACTTTATAAATTTGCACTTTTTTTGTCTTAAATTATTTTTTTTCATTTTTTTATCTTTTAATTCTAAAAATTACATAATTTTAGTACAGTTAAATATAACGTG